GCAATATGACACACAAATGCACACATACATTCACACACCTATACATATGTATATACAAAATACAAACACAAAAATGCCTAATGACGCACACAACGAAAAAGCACAGCCCACGGCAATCCAATTGACTTGAGCAACAAGTGACTAAGCCCTCGCCGCCATGACCGCCAGTTTACTCGGCGTTTGTGTGTGTGACATTAAGCATAACGGTTTTGTGCTGGCACCAACGCTAAACCTTTCCGCGGTGGCGGTTGCAGTTATTAAAAGGTCAAAAAACTGTCATGTGTCGCTTGTAATCGGCGGTCAGTCAGCGCTAGCGAGCCGAGAAGCCGAGGAGCCGCGCCGAGCAGTCAGCCGGCCAGGCATTCAACCTAACAAAGTGCCGAGCTGACGGCGCGGTCTGTGCGGCAAAACGTGGCGACAATAATAATGACATCAACAAATATCTGTATGTATGTTAACAGACATATGCACAACAATAACAACAACATTACTATAAGCGCTGACATGCAATAATACTGACTACTGAAGTCATGCCACAAAAAGCACCTGTACGGTACTTTAAGCCGCATGCGGGTATGGACATGTTTGTTGTTATTATGTAGGTGTGTTTTTGTTATTTACATACATATACGCATACATACGTGCACAGTTACGCATGCAGTTGCGGCGCGCAGCTATTGTTGCAAACGTTGTCTAATAAGCTATAATTATCCACTAATTACGCACGAAAAAAAATTTAAAAAAAAAAAAAACAACAACAAAACCAAAAAAGGAAATAAGTATATACACACACACATGCACATAGCATAGAAGCGCGCAATATGGCAAACGATTCAATAACACAGCGCAAAGAGCATGTACGCAGTAGCGCTTTTCCGACAGCGTGGCGTCACAAAATGTGAAATCAGTCGGTCTTATTTATTGTTGTATTATTTGCTTTATATCGCTTATCATAGGCAATAACTTTTGCTGCCGCTGCGGCTGTTCAGCGATGCGAAAAATTGTATTTGAAGCGTTTTCTTCCATAGAAAAAGCTTCTTGAACAGAAACTGCGCACAACAAGTGCAGTAAGTGACAGCAATACAACAACAACAATAAAAACAGCGAACACTTGTTATGATCATTAGCAGACAACAATTGCTATGGCATTCAACAATTGCCGCAATTGTTGCACACTTTCCTTTGCTACGCACCGTTGCGGTAAAAGAGAAAAGTGTCTGCCACTCAATGCAACTTTGATGCGAAATATAGTTGCAACAAGTGCAATTTAGATTACAGCAATTTATTTACGTGCTGTCACTTGAGGCCAAGTAAATTATATGAGCATATGAGCGCATATAACAGCTTTTCCATAGTGTGGCAAACTTGCCACAATAGCGTCATGTCGCACACAACCTTACTGGTTCGCAGTTAACGCTAATTAAGTAGTTCATTTCTACTATTATTCATGTTTCTGTGATAAATAGAATTATAACTTGTAGGAAGTAAATAAAAGTCGGCATAATGTATGTCTTTTAAGTAGCATTTCTTCTGTGCTACAAGTTTTGAAGCTGCGCTAAAAAAACGTATCTATCATAATATACGAGAATTCTCTTGTGCAACCTCATATAGTTGCTAATTTACTTTATGTTGCAAATATTTTATGGTAGATAAACTTTCCTGCCTGGGAACAGTTTTTGGGAACAGTTCAAAATGATTGAACACACAAATTTCTGTTAAATTAAGTTAAAAGCTAACATTTTGAAAAGTTCAAAGACTAGTGTTTTTGTTAGATCAACGAAATAGTTGAAATATGTACCAATTTAACTCAACTATGGAAATATTTAAATAAAATTTTTTTGTTAAACAAAAGCATCATTTGAGTGTTTGTGATTCAAATTTTTTATACTTATAAGTATTGCTTGCAGTTTGCATACTTTAAGCGTGAAAAAATAGAACTTTTCATGACTGGGAGCAGTTTTCACCAAACGGCATAACTAATATCGTAATTTATGGATTTTTTAAATGAAAATGGTGCTTTGCACACTCAAAATTGCCTAATCTTGACCAAAATGGCTACCTCGTTATAATGCCATTCAATACAGCCGTTAAAGTAAGCCACTGCTGTAGCTAAATTAGTTAAGTACGTCACACGTAGATCTGTTAGCTCAACCAAACTTAATATTTACAATACCTTAAATGCTGAAAATTACTGGCAAAAAGTTTTTTTTAGCTAGAATTGAAACAAGCGTAGGTATATGTAGACCTTCAACCACTTTTATAATTAAAAAATATTAATAGCATTATGATCATTCACCATTGCCAGAAAAAAGAAAACCACAGTAAAGCGCAAAATTTTCAAAAATAACCTTTGTGTACAACCAGACATCACATTTATATTTATTTGCATTTGTTTTTATAAGTTTACACGGAAGTCATGGCGACAATATTTATACTTACTAAAGCTACTTATTGTCTGCCTTCTAATAGCTCTCGATAAAATTATAAATATAACCATATCTTTATACATTTATATTATTTAAGTATGTACTTCGCATGAAAGTTGTATGCATAATTTTCTTTATTAATAAATTATTGCATGATGTTTGCGAATCAACATATAAATGTGTGTAATGTATAAGTGAGTGTTTGTATGCACACACGTACACAGTAAGCAGCCATTGTATCATCACCACTTGCAATAATAGTCGAATATGTGTGTTTTGTTTGTGGCTTTTTCATTGTCCACGAGCAGCGCTCGTTTAAAGATAAGGATTGAGTCATCTGCCGAGTTACATATGCGCTTGCATTGTGGCTAAACAGAGAGCGCAGTTTAACGAATTTTCGCTATTATTTATATTTTTATGACAATTACGTATGCAAAAATTATGTTGCACAATAAAAGAAATATATTACATATGAAAATATATTACATATAAAATATATATCTAATATATATGTACGAGTATCTTTCAGTTCATTAAATTGCAATTATAGCTTTATTCAAACAGAGGTAATCCCAGTAAGTTAAGTAAAAGCAATTACTTAAATATGTTATATTGTTTATATGAAAGCTGAAACTAAATGATATTCACGCGCATTCCTTTGCTCATTCACACATTTCGTTTTCCCTATTAATTATAGAAATAGAAAGTAATTACCATAAACATTAGCATTAGCATTACCAAACAGTGGTGGCGTATTATGATGGCACTCACATGCTGACACCTACACCAACACATATGCCACATATTCATATTGAAATGACGCCAACACTTGCAATAACAACCACACCAAAATTTACTACCAACAATTGCTGAGTAATCATCATAGCAAGCAGAGTAATCTTGCAAAGCAATAATTGTTTTGTTCATTATATACACATGAAACGCAATGAGCCACACAACTAATGAAGATGAACAATTTTAAGCGCCGCCACTTGGGAGCAGCGACGGTAGTTTGCAGTCAATTTGTTCACACTTTTTCGCTTAGCCGCTGTGGCGCTTATGTGGGAGAAGGCTTCGTGTTAGTAGAGGAAAGGCCTACACACAGTTTACGTTTATGTAATAATTGGGTGAAAATAAGCAGTAAGCAACAAAAATGCAGTTAAACGTTTTAGCACACATTTTAGTTGCATGAACCTTGTGGGAACACCTCTTTATGTTTGCTTACGCAATAGCTGCGCTTAGCATGCCACCACCGGTGTTAACGCTTTATAGTTGGAGGCATAGTAAAAACTATTTAAAAAATAATATATAAAGAAATAAGTAGCAATATGGTAAGAAATCCGGTATTCCCTAGATATGTAGTAGCAATTTAATTTAGTATTTTGCATAATTCTGGTCACAACAAGCAATAATTTTTCTTTGAAAAACTTAAAATCTCAATCTTTTATGGAACTTTTTTTCAAATAAAATATTTAATGCGCCTCGGAATAGTTTGTTTTTTGTAGTAAAAAATATTTCAAAAGTATATAGTGACATTATTTAATGTATCTTTTCTTTAAATTATATATTCGGCGTGCCTAGGAACAGTTTTTGTAAATAATAAAATGTGATTTAACGACTTAATTCTTTTATGGAACTTTTCTTGAAGTTATATATTCCGTGCACTTGGGAACAGTTTTTGATAGTGGTAAAAAAGTAATTAAACTGCCTAAAGTCTCATTATTTTAAGAATATTTTCTTGAAATTATATATTCCGTGTACAAAAGCGCAGTTTTTCTTTGCAGTAAAACTGTCATTCTTTAATCTCAGCTCAATATATTGCCGGCCTTTGGTTTTTTGTTTTGATCTTTCTACACATATGCAAAAAATTCATTATATTATTTACAAGCTAATTTGCCATCGTTACCCTTCTAAAAAAAATAATATTTATTATAGGCATATACATATGTTAAAATATTTGATAAAGCTCTTTGAAAATAAAAGGTTTTCAACATTTTTAATTGATTTTATGTGTTGAAATTTTCATATCTTGCCCTTTGGCAAACCGCTAAATTATACAAGATTGTGAAAATCAACACAATTATGCTGAAATATATGACTGAAGAAACACCACTCTATGCACTCAAAGCTTGCTAGTGCAAAATGGTTAATAACAACATTTAAAAAATCTCAATAGGTGCTAATTGTTCGAAATAATGCACAGAAGTGCGGCAGTGATCGTTGAAGACTTATACACACAAATGTATGTATGTTTTTCAAGTTGCAGCGAGTTGTGCATGTGGCAAAAGCAAATTGAAAATCAATCGAAATCGAAAGATTTTAAAACGGCGTTCAAATTGCGCAGTCAACTAACAAAAACGTAGATGCTTGTCCGATAACTTAATTTTACATACAAACTCAAACAGTAAATTTTCAGTGAGTACAAAAAATACCGTTATTTGATTTACAACAGAAATAGTTTCCATTTAAAAATTGGCGCACCTTTGAAAATCCACCATTTAAATTATTTCACCATGAGAAAATAAAAGCCAATAAGGTTACGGCAGATGTGTTTTAAAAAGTGAATGAAATGAATTTGCATTTTTAATTAAATTTTATTCAGCTTTGTCTTTTACCGCCAAAAGTTACATTTGTACATTTCCCACTTCCTTACGATGTTAACATTTTAATCACTCTTTCCTCATGGGCATTCCTTGGCATACCACTGGCATTCTGGTGCGTCGTTGCCATTTCCATTTCCGCCCAGCCCAAATACGTAGCGTCGGTTGTTATCGTAAAGCGAATCGCCGGCACAGATGAGGCGTCCATTCTGTGTAAATATCAGCTGATTTTGGTAGAGTGCGACATTCCAGTCGGCATTGGAGGGTTGCTGGAAGCTGGAGTGCCAAGCAGTCACCATATTAGCCTCGCCTCTATAACTGTTGCGCTCCAAATATGCAAAGCGTTTCGACGCGTTGTGCTTGAGCGCGAATTTCAATTTCGTCTGCCGATTGGTGGACACGTCGGTAACTTTTGTTGTCCACGCGCGTTTATACACATTGTTGATGTCGTTTTTAAAAACGAAAATATAGTCACGTTGGGCATCAATGGCCTTTTCGGTGGCATAAATGTAATTCAAATATTTGCGATTCAATAAGCAGAAGTTTGGCTGGAAGAAGAGAAAGTCGAGTGAAGGTGGCAGATAGCTTATGTACTCGGTCAATCTGCGCTTCAAGGCGTTGGTTAAACTGGAGTAGTATTGGTCCTTTTTGATATTCAGAAAGTAGTATGCCACATTGAATGTATATTTATCATTGACATCGCCGGCATTGTCGAATTTCTGGAACAAATACAATTGCAACTTGACCATCTTCTTGTAGGACGCAGCAGTACCCGTGTAGATTTTATTCAAAGCGTAGGCTAAAGCGTTCGCATCTTCGCCATTATATCGGTTATCGATGGCGTTCTCATTCCAGTTGTTCACATTTAGAAAATTCAAAGCGCGCTCATCGATATCGCTGGCGCGATCCTCTGGCGCATTTGGCGCGTTCACCGCATCTGGTGAGTTCGGCGCATCCTGCGGCTCCGGCAAATTCGCCGCTGCTGCCTGGTACAAAATTGCCGCTATAATAAGAAACGTTGCGCACACTTTGCTCAGCATTGCTTTCGATATTTGTAATTGAACTGTTTTAATTGAAGCACCGATGACGGGTATTTATTGGTGTTGCGCGCTGAGAGAATTCTCACTTATCAATTGAGCTGATTGCGCACAAATATTGATAGCAAGTTGATTGTGCTGGATTTAAGTGTGTGCAAATAGAAGTTGTTTATTCGACAGTAATTGAAATGTGAAGCTTCCGCACCTACTAAGAGCGTATCAGTAACTAGGGAAAGCCTTAGACAAAATTTCAGTAGTGAAATGCGCACTTATATTCTAAGGTATGCAAATAAAAAGTAATTAGAGCAACACTCTAGATAAACACATTAAGTGATGCAACCTCATTTGAATAATAGAACGCTATTTCGATTTGAGCGTCTAACAGGTGGTTTTGTAATTGCAATTTTTTACCCATAATCATTAAGTTTATATATATTTTAAAAGTAATACTATGCTACGAAAAGTTTTTCAGTTAATGCAAAGAGCTCCACCGCCTATGGTATATGTCTCGATTTGAGCCAAGTTTCGAACCTTTTCGGAACAGCTGTTTTATTTTTAACGTTTAGACACTACTTGACGGTAGATAATTGTGTCTAGGTATAGATTTGTGTACTATTTCAGATTTTTAGGATTAAGTTTGGGGCTCTTAACAATACTTAAGGGTGTATAGCAATATAAAAAGAAGCTTAAAGAAGTGGAAATTCCATACGATATTAATATCAACACAGATTTATCTTGAAGGTTATGTACTGGAAAGACAGCGCTAAGCAAAAATTTTAGATAAGTTAAGTGCTTCCGTTGATGGTATATTTTTACTTGTTAGCTTATCTAATCTATTCATTTGTTATTAAATTGTCATACGAGTGGCAATTCTTTTGAGAATATGGGTTATATAATTCATGTAATAAAAACAAAGTTATGTCATGGATATTTGAAGAGGGTCCTTATGGTGATTTCCCTTACCTCAATTACTGAAATATAAGTGAATATTTTGTTTATAAAAAATCTCCTTTCATTGAAATAAATTTGTACTTAAATGCACACAATTGTTTAGCCAACGCTGAATCAATGTTGCCACACCGCTTTTTTCGCAATTTTCCAATTTTTCAACCGCATTAAATTACAAGATCAACGTGATCCATCAATTTGAAAAAATATCACTAAAATTTGTTAAGCCATAAGAGGGCCACACAATCAATCTTGCAACAAAACAAATTTCATTGTCATGATTTAATTACTTTATTACATGCAAGTGGTTTTGTAAAACCGAGTAGTCTTGGGTGAAAGATGCAGCATTAAAATTACAAAAAAAAAAAAAAACGTAAATAAAACTCAAGATAAATCGCCAAAGCATCGTCTTACCGAAAATAATTTCACATATATTGGGGCACAGCCTACCATGGTAGAAACAACGCTACTCCCGAAGAAAGGAAGCACGAAATGTTCTTAATAAATAATTCAATTTATTATCGAGACAAAGAGGAGAGTGAAAAGTGTGCCGCGGGCAGGATCTGCTCGCAAGTTGCATGTGTGTTGCACGCCTAAGAAAGCGGTAGCCAACTCACTGCCAAGGTTGACCGAAGGAATTAATAATGGCCAACAAAATTTTGATGAGCGCCGCAATGCATGCACACACATACGCAAGCCACTTTACTCCTTGGTATGCGTGCTTGTGTGTTTGAGGAGGCCACACACGCGCCAAATGCCCGACAGGCAGCAGAGGGCGGCAATAAATGTTTGGACGTGGCTGTGGCAGCAGGCGGACACTTTCCTTACAAATGCCCACACATACACATACACATATATTTTTACAGCAAAACATACGAGAGCATTTTTAGAACATTGCTGCTGCTGCTGCTGCAACGACAGCCGAGCCGATAGCCTCCAGTGCGGCATGCTGCGGTGCGGCGCTTTAATGATTTTCAATGTACGGAATGAGTGAATTTTTAATAACCAACAGTTATGTGGCGATTTGCCGTTATTAAGTAGAAATAAAAGGTGAAATGCGAAAGGCAGGAAAGAAGAAAAATGGGTTGAATTCTGAAGAGAACGCTCAATGAAAAGGCTTTAGGCTAAGAAAATGATGCGACGGAATTGATTGCTACTCAAAATCTAGAAAAATAAAAAAATAAAATGTATTACAAAAATAACATATTTTTAGAGTTGGGATCCTAAATATAGTGTTCTAAATTAATAAACTTGGATAATAGCGAAAAATAAAATAAATGTGGAAATTAGACGGAATATAATGGAGCTTTTCGTAGATCAAAGAATCTGTAGAATGAGCAAAGAAATTGGATAGGTTTTTACTCCACTTGCTACCTTGGTATCTTCCTAGCAGGCCTGCAGATCATGCATAACTGGTAATATTGAGAGAAGAGTGTGGGATAACAGGAGCTTAACCATAAAAATTGAGAATTGAACAGAGAAGAGAGAAATATATTAGGTTCCGGAACGCAACAGTATTGGCGGCGTCATTGTAACTTAAGAGCAGGTTTCTCTAAGCAGAGCTTTGTCTATGCCACTCGGCTGAAAAGCTTACACTTTGCAAAGCTCGAAAAAGCTTAGCCAAACATTTTAAATTACATAAGTTTTAAAAGAGAAATATATAGACTATTTCTTATCGCATGAATGAATTATATGAAATGATAAAATTCTGAAACGAATTTCTTAGAAAATTAAAAATTTTGCTTTTAGTAAGCACATTTTTACTTTTCTTATAAACATCGCTTTAAAGTTACACATATGTACATAGGAATCACATCACCTTCGTAAATCCAAACACCGTAGACTGTCAATAAAGCAAAATCGAAGAATATGTACCCATCACTTCATTGAATTGTTTAAAAGAGAGAAGGAAATGAATCAGCAAAATATGGAAATTATGCGGAAAAAGGCCAAGAAGTTGAAAACGTGCGCTGGAAATTGAAAATAAAACATTATTAACAATAGTAATATTTCTGCTACCGGCCGGCTGGCCGACTGACAGCGCGCCGCTATTTGTAAGTCAAGCAATTGGCAGCGGCAAGCGGAAGAAGCTGACAAAGCACGCCTGTATAGCTGCGCGGCGGTAGTAATAAGCAAAGCGAATAAATGAATAACATGAACTACAGACAATTTCTACACGCCACTGACACACACACATACATTCCATGCAAATGTAGTGACATTCACGTGCGATAGCCGCACGTCCGCATACGCATCTGCTTTCGCATTAAGCGACTAATGAAATCTGCCCGAACGAATCGATTATATTAGCTGTGTGTTTGAGCGCGCATTCAACAGCGATTGCCCGATTAAAGCGCGCTGCTGTCTGCGTTCCAGCGCTCGACACCGGCGCTACCATTTCGACAGCTGTTATCATTTTTTGCTCATTTCTGCGCTGCTGCGCATTTGATTGATCCTTGTGCGCTACAATTCAATTTGTTTTTCATTGAATATCGCAGTTTCTCAACTTTGCGCCAATTCACTCGCACGTAGCTTTGCTGGTGTTGCATGAAAGCCTGCTATGTGTGTGTAAGAATTGATATTTCGTTTTCTTTAATCTTACAAATTTTCACCGTCAGCGTTTTTATTTTTTTTTTGCAACTTTCCTAATTGGCACACACACATACGCCACGTTTGTTTCCGCGCGCCTGACCTACTGGTACTGTTCAAGCAGCCGCTTTTGATTGCCCACTTTGCGCAGTTGCTCAGCGGTGTTTGCCACCAGCTGCTGTTGGCCAACTTCATCTGCGCGCTAAATGAGTTCGCGTTCGCATTCGTTCTTAATTTGATTCAATAATTCTTTCGTGTAAACAAAACGTTTTGAGTTGCGTTGTGGAAAGCGGCAACCGGACTTGTTCTAGCTGTTCGTTGCTTTCTTTATTTTTATATTCACTTTTATGGCTTTTATTATTGTCGGTTAATTGTTATTTTCTGTGCTGCTGGCAGAGTTAATTGTGTTTAGAATTTGTGTGAGTTTTGAAGCGCGTTTCTGCTACTTTCGCAATTCTTCATAAATAATTTATGTTTTTATTGCTTTCTTTTACCGCTTCAACAAGATATTCTTATTGCCAGATGCGACACACATTTTTGCTGTATAATTTTTATGCCTCAAGTACAAGCAATTTTTACTTTTAAATAATATTTTTAGATTTTTCCTTTCGTAACTTGCTAATTTCAGCCAATGGGTTGAACCGCGCGTGCGTGCGCCTTATTTTTCCGCACCGCGTTATTTCGTACACAAGAAATTGGTTAATAGTTTTTTTTTTATTACGTTCGTACTTGAACTGTTCGGCAGTAATTTTCCCACTACTTTTTCCCCACCATTTCGCCGCTTTAATATGCTTTTAAATGCAAGTGCAGCGCTTAAAGAGAGCAGTGAAGAAAAACAGTCATAAGCGGCAAAAAAGCAGTTTGGACAAGAAATGAAATATTTCAGGCTTTAAAAGGCGCTCAAGTGCTGAATTAATTGTGTGTGGCGAAAGTGAATTGGAAGCGCTAAATCTATGGAAGCAGCGGTCACATGATGTCTGCGGTGTGTGGGAAAAATATGTGGACTTAGTCAATTATATATTTATTTAGTGAACTTTTTCCAGTTCATCTCTGCACGAAAACTGTAATGCGACAATTGAATCAATTAAAAAATCAAATATGTACATAGACATTAAGTTCCGTATGAAGCCACATGTGCCATTGACATTGAAAGTGGCAGCGCTCAGCGACTATCGATTGTCTTCTACTGTTAGCAATTACTTACTTCCACATGGCTGGTTGTTTTTAGTTTTATTGTGATTAATGACCGTTGAGATAATGCCAGTAAATACTGAAACGTAAAAAAGCTTCCATGTATGTGAAAGCTCGTGGAGCAAGCTTTTATTGACAAGCAAAAATGATATCATAGAAACCATATAGGCTCTAAAAGCTCTAACACATATTTAATATTGTAAAATGTACTCGGTAAACATACTACAAACGGTTGTATAGGTAAAAACTTTCATAAGTAGGCTGAATGGTTTTTGAAATGAAAGCTTCTAATCACGGTAGGCAAAACCAAGTTTTTAAGAGTACTGATTCTTTTTAGTCGGACCATGTAGGACAAATTTTATGGGGACTGCTACTTCGAATATATCGCAGTCTCATTGAAGGTATGCGAACTGCTTGAGAACTAACTGTGAATAATTGAACAGGAGTATTGAACTCGCGATACGATTACCAGCACTTAAAAATGTCGCTGAAGCACTACGCGGCACACATTTTTATCTTGCTCATAAATGTTAGGTGAAAATGGTGGAAAATACTTGGAACGCGACAAACGCCATGAGACTTGTTGTGTCATTGATCTTTAGTCAACAAATGAACACGCAAAATGACAACAAATATTACAGGCAAAGAACAGCGTAAATATATAAAGATACGAGCAGAAGATAATGAAATCGTAAACAACAACAAAAAATAAAATGAAGAAAACCAGCTAACTGCTGATGGATTGCTTGAAAAGTGACTGAGTCGCGGGCGCGCGAAACTAACAATTTGCACAAAATCTATTTTCCAGCTCCATAGATACCACTGAGAAGATATGCGCGCGTATGTAGTGCAACACGCGTTGACGGCACTGAGCTTGTGTCGCTTATCGTCATGACAACTCGACGCGTCTATTTGACTTGCAATTAGAATTGTCGCAACAAGGTAGACGACGGCAAACAGAAAAACGCAGCGCGCGCAGAAGGTGCAGACTGCGAGCGGGAAGAGAAAGCATAAAACGAGCAATACAAGCTGCAGCTATGCTCGCAAAGGAGGTGCGGTGGCGCAACCGTAACAAGCATCATTAGTTGCCACTAAACGCGTTGGCTGGTGGCTGCGACGGTGACGGTGACAGTGCCAACCGACGGACGTACAAACATGAGAGCATTCATTGCGGACCTATCGAACAAGTGTATCTGCCAGATATGCTTCTACACGGACGCTTTAGTAAACTATTCGCAGATAAGTGCAAATACAAACACAGCGCAGGTAGATAGGCGCGCTTGTGTCCCACTGTGGCGTCAAAGTGCGGAAATGTTCCAGCTGCTTCATGGTACAGCTGGAGCAAAATACGCGCATGCCATAACAAAGCGATAAAAGTGTGAATAACACTAGATGTCGAGAAAATTAGTTGTTAAATTTGAAAGAGTTCTAGAATAAGTAGCGGCAAAACAAGAAGAAGAGCGCGGTAGGCGCACACACAAGCGGCAAAGATCATCTGCAACAGATGCGGAAGCCGTTAGTCAGTAGGATTAGCGGTAGTTAAATGCAGTACACAACAAACAGCCAGCAATGCAGCAGTCGCGGCAGACCGCCGCGGCCAAACGCCAAACGCAGAAGCGACTACAACAAAATTTTATAATAACTTCGTTGGTGCGTGCGAATTCGTGCAATTATCCGAGGTATGAAAAGTCGTTTCACGGTACATTTTATTATAACTTTAATCTATTTAGTACATAAAGCTATTACGATATAGTCGAATAGTCGAATGCGCCGCAACGACACGGTCGTAAAAGATTTCGCAATTTCACTCTTATGAGTTGCGATTTTATAGTTTGTTAAAATATTAATTTATTTCTCCTTTATTTTTTTGTATATTTTTTAATTTTTTTTATGATTTTTGGTTCAACTCACGCTTCAGTTTATAAGTTGCGCAGTACAGAAGTGCAAGCATCCGACGTTTAACTTTTGGCCGCAGCTAAAAGGAACCTATAACAAAGCAACTTTGCCCTGGTGGACAGTCCAGCTGGTGGATTTCCATTAAAATTATGAAAGAAAGGAAACTTACTTATATATTGTTATGCAGGAGTTCGATTTGAACAATTCGGAATAGCGGTAAATATCAGAAGAGATCAAAATCAAATTTGAATTAGTTATGAAGATTAAATACTTGCTGTGAAAGGTGAATTTTTGGTTTGAATGCAGTCTTAATGGTTAGTGTAATGGAGAGAAGCTGAGTCTTGAAAACGAGTGACTTTATTTATGCCATCAACTGAAACGATCACATCAGCTTACAAAGATCTTTAGCTTTAGTCTGCAGATATAACATTTTAATTGTAGTGTGGAGAATATTCGTTCAAAAAAAGCTTTCGAAATGTTGAAACTTTTGTAGGAGCTTAAAAAATGTCCTTCCGTTCAATTGAAGTGATTTAACGACCCACCCATATAAGTAAAATATAGTTAACTTATACAAAATTCTCATATCGATCGTAGTCGTAGCTCGTCGCACACTATTTAAGACTTCTCAAGCCTGTCTTGCGCGGTTTATCCAATGTATACATACGCACTTGAAGTCGAAAAAGGTGCGACAATCCAAGCACCAAAGCGAACTGTCAATATTTATATAGATCTTAGCTGACAAACAAAGAAGATCGCTTCAAGTGCACATCCCTTAAGCTGTGAAAACGAATAGCGAAAGCGAAGGATGAAAACTGCATTAATTTGCATAGGTAAAAGCGAAGCTATCAAAAAAAAAACAAAGGTAAGCTAATATGAATTTATTTTGCCTTTGGAAATCCCATTGCTCAAGAGATGTCAACTCATCTCTGCGATGTCACCGCTTTAAATTCCCTACGTACGACTGCTGCTAAAGTGCGCAAATTAAGTTCATGGGCTGCTTGTGCTGCGGTAAACTATTTTTGTTGTTTCATTTTGAAATACTTTTCATTTTAATTTCGCGAACAAATGTCAACTTTCGATTTCGAAAACTTTTCTTAATGCTAGCGCGGCGGTTTGTGACTCCAAATGGCTAAAACGCATGTGCACTCACACCGACAAACTTTTCGCAGTTACGTTGTCTTTTTCGTACCACGATTGCCATACTAGACAGGTGTTTTAATCTCATGATCATACCACATTTATGTGAGCACATAAATGACAGTGAATCACTTTCATTTTAACGAGCACATAAACTGTCTTAAGTTTCACGCAAGATTTTAAGCTTCGGGCATTGCTTCGTATTGATTTATGGCCACAGCTTTTTAGTTCGTGGTTAAAAGCTTACAAAATCTCATTATCATTCGAACATGTATTAAGTTGACAAAACTATTAATTATAAACAAATGTTTAATTACTTAGACCTTACTTAGACTAAGATGATAATTAAAAGTTATCAAAAGAGAAAAGGTAAAGAGATTGTGTTCAAAGGTCTAAGTGCTAAGTAGATCACTAAAAGCGTTCAAGACAGAGGATATCTGAATGCAGCATCACTACCCTCAAAAAGAGGTGACCCACTCTTGCTGACTCTTATCCCCAATAGACTTAGTTCCTGAGCTTTTAGTCTAAAATTAGAAACCATTGAGAAATTATAGAATATAGAAGAACTTTGAAGCTTTTTACTGTGTAAAAGCTTTAATAAAGAATCCAAAAAAGTGTAATTATTCAAATATTAACTGGGACCGCAGCTTTATACTGCTTACAGCAGGGGATAGGCAACCGTGTGTAAAGCGCTTCGAATATAAGTTCGTATCAACTTTATGAAAAGCTCGATGGTTTACCTTATGATAAATAACAATAATCCACTACGTGGACTCAAGAGATCAAGAAAAACGAATGTTTTCTTAAAAACAATTAACAACAAAAACGACATGCATTCACTTACCGTTAAATTGAGGTTCATACACAAGATTCGCATATGTTAACATAACTGTACACACAGGTTGCACGTCTGACTGAAATTCGTTTACAGCAACAACTCACTTAAAAATCACTTTGATTGCACAGAAACTAATCTCGTTTTAACACCATTAAATATTTCCACTAACCATTTGCCTGATGAAAATCGCAAATACAACACAATTAACGCTGAAAAGCAATCCGTTTGTGATAATCTAAAACTTCGCAACGAACAAGTGTTCTTCTTTCACAACGATTGTTTACGCTGCCTGCCCCTTCTTTGCTTAATGCGCCGCACAGCGGTTTGTTGACTTTGCCACTGTCGCTTTGTACAGCCACTTAAGGTCTGTTGTTGCTGCTATTGTTGCCGCTGCTAATTTGATTAATGATAAGCTCCGCTTAGCCGGCACAAACAATATGTGCTGTGATTCATTTGGTTGCAACAACTGCTAACACTGTGTGCCTGGCGCGCATCAACCAACTGCCACCGCTGCTCATATACTGATGCATTCGGTTGTTGTTGTTGTGTTGTTGCTGTCACACTTTTGCGACTTCGCTCGGAGATTGGTCGCGCTGACCGACTATCGCTTGAGTGCTTCGCTGTTGCCGCTATATTTGCCGCTCGCGTTTAATTGATTTGAAAAGTGACTTGCAACGCATCAACTGCGACGAACTGCCGCGCACTGTGCTGAACTCTGTTGCAAATTGAATGGCTGACTAGCACGCTGTCTGCTCGACAGACCAGCGCGGTGTACGGTGGTAAGCGGCGCACGTCGTTGCGACCAGCTGCGCCACGCTGCGTGAATGTTGCAAGTTGTGATTTACGCAAGCGAAAATAATTTTGCACTGCAAAGAAAGAGCAGAGACAGCAGACAACGGTCCACATTAGTATGGCATGCAGTGAAGCGTTGCAACGCGGCGTAGAAAAAGTATTTGAGCAAAACATAAAAGAAATGTTCAATTTAAAATGGGTTAAGCAGCAGCGGCAGCATCATCATTTCTCGCATTTCTCAACGCTTTCCTTGTAATTTGCTCATTTGCGGTCGCGGCCGCTGCCGCCCCAATGCACCGTTAACAATGCGTTTATTATTTCATTTGCTGTCCGCCTCGCTTAAGTGTTGCTTATATTAATATTGCTTTTGTTGTTGTTATTGTTACTGTGGTTGTTGCGCCGTCTGTGGCAGGCGCGCAACAATGCCGTGCTTTGTGTGGCAACAATTGCCCACAAAGCATTCCACAGCGTTTAGACGCCTTCGCGACGCCTTGCTTGATAACAACAAATATTTACGCGTAGTGAATCAACAAACGGCGGCATCAACAACAGCGAGCACATCCAGAACAACAATAACAACGGCAAATAGCGGCTAGATGTTGCTTGTTGCACACATGCAACCCCACAATATTTTGCCACAATTGCATTTAATGACATTTAAGATTCTATTACAACGATTGCAATTTGTAATTTAGTCCGTTTGACTGACTTGTGTTCGTCATTAGAATGGGTATTGTTGTTCTTGTTCTTTGCTATTTAATGCAGGCGTTGCGGCTGTTGTTGCAACTATTAGTGGTGTCATTGTGGTCGCAATGAGCCATTTCCTCTTTGGCGAATATTAAATTTAACGCGATTGCACATTTCGCTCCCTCGCGCACACACGCACGCATTACGCATACATGCCCACACTTACATATACACACGCATACATAATCGTATAAGCGTTTTGTGCGGCACTTGGCATGTTTGCTTCGATCGCTTGAAAATATTATGACTCCATGCAAAAATATATCTGCTGGAGTTCACATACGGAGCTTACTGATTGTACTGGTATATGTATGTAGACTACGCTTAGTTCAAAAATTTCCATATTAAATATCGTCTATATCATATATAGTAAATTGCAACCTATCTCAACTTAGTAAATTTGTTCAGTTCTAAATTTTAGTCTTTCAACGCCAAGAAGTAAAAGCATCAGTTATTAATACATAAAACATTTGAGAAGTTCATATAGTTTCTACGCAACGAATGAAAAATTAACGAAAAAAGCTGATTCGCCTAAAAATATACCACAATAAGCTATCTATATATCTAAATCTATACAAAATACCAAGTTAGTAATGATTACCGTTATTCACGCTAGTCATGAGATGCCGTTAATGCCTTAAATTTGGGTATACCAAAAAAAGAGCAAAGAATTATATGCGAATTTGTGTATGGTCATGAATTCGAAACGCTGAGCAAAAATTTAATACAATTACAGCAAAAATCAGCATGTGCCACAAAAATGTACAGATGCTTTTGCAAACCTCAATTAAATATACATATATACATAAACTTTTCTTGCTATCAGAGCCGCCTCTTTCTTAAACTTTTCTATATTCAACAAATTATTTATCAGTTTCTAAAGGTCTTGCTTGCCCGCAGAAGTAGACAAATCAGTTCACAAATATGGCCTTTTTGAATAACTTGCTTTCCAGCGACATCTAACGTATTTGCAATTCTTTGGAACACGCAACGAAATATCATTGAAAATGTCTTCATTAACTGTTCTATAGTCTCGCGGTCTGCACACATGCATATTATCGATTTTTATAAAGAAATAACTACTTAGCCTGTAGAGATACTATAAATATCATTACATATGTATGTATACTCGTAAATACACATTACTAGGTATCTGATGGCATATGCAACACAAAACAACATAAATTCTTAAGTCTAACGCCTGATTGCAGCCAACACCTATAAACTAGTGTATGTTAAGCGCTTTGAGGAAGTAACAACAAGCGGCTGGACGACATGCTAAGCGGTGGCCCATGCACATATACGTACATACATACAAGCTTAGAGTACAAACAGTTATGTCATGAGCATAACAGCGAGCGCGTGCTTCTCACATTGGTCACCAAATAAAAAGCAATAATAATAACGCATTTTTATGGTATCACCAATTATCGGCTTAGAGCGTTAAAGTCGCAAGTAAATAAATAAAAATTAAAAGTATAACGGGAACAAGGAACGATTGGAAAGACATAAAAAAACATGTACAGATTTCTACAGTAGAAATATTATTAACATTTCGAGGCGCAGTCAGCAAACATAAATGTTTTTATGCGCACTAAGGAATTACAACAGCAACAAAATTACAATAATAGAAGAAATGTGTAATGCGACATGCAAATATTAGCATAACAACAAATGCATTTATAGAACTTTGCTGCAGCTTGGAGTTAACAGCTATACGTCGAGCAGTAAATATAATCATAAAATAACCGTAAAAATACACCGCAGTGCCCACGTACAGTCGTGAGCGATATATACCATATATGTAAATATGTATGGTATATGTATATAACTTTGTGTGTTTGTTGTATTTAAATGCGCTTGCAGCAGTATAAATCACCTTAACTGTACTAAATACTAACGCCAAGTCAAACAAAATGCTTGAACATAAACAATGCGCTTGTCTCATGGGCTAACCCACGAACAGATGAGGCGCAGCGGTAACAAAGTTGCGTCGCTTGCTTGCAACAAGTGCAGTGGAGCAGCTGTAGCACCTGCGGCAGCAGCATCACAGTGAGTCGTCGCAACTACCGCTGCAATATATTTGTACTTATGTAAATATGTGTAGTATGTATACATATGTATATGTACATATGTGCCGTAGTAGTTGCGTGCTTGTTTTGTTATGGTTGCGGAAGCTGCGTTGCGCGACTATGTTACAGTTATGCTTTATTGCATTTCGGTTTTTAGTAGATGCGTTCTAATTGATAAGATAATTTTTTTTATAAGAGATTTATGCCTTTTTAACTAGATATTCAATTTAATGCTGACATAAATGCATAAAAGGCACAGAAGATGCCAGCAAAGCTACTTAGCAGTACTTGCTTACTCATTTGCTTAGCGGCGTAATTTTTATAGTCAAATAACTATTTTTGTTTAAATAATAATTGGGTTAAAGCAACAACATTTTTAATTTCCACAAACATATTTTTAGACTTGTTTACTTTTGGAAAAATAATATAAATCTCGAATTTCAGTTGTAAACCCAATAAGAATATAGCTTAGATAGGTGTATAAGAACTCAAATCATACACAAACGGCTCAATTTGGAATATCATCTCCCGAATTTAGAGTTAAAACGGGGCTGTATAAGTCAGCGGCAGCTATATATATATATTTTATATATATATTCTTGGATTACCTCCTCTATGAGCTCACTCATATTTCCGACCTCACAGTTCAACCGAATTCAGAGAGTGCTATTTTAAATCCCAGCCATAACTTCATGCCCAAGGAGTTATTTAACTAGCTAGCAGCCTCTCGCAGAACCATCTAGTAGGTTTATTTCACTTAAAGACTAGTACTTTCAATATAGATTACTTTGTAGTGAGTTCCTGTAACTAAATAACTATGAAAAATGATATTAAAAGGGAATAATGTATGCTAAATTCATAGAATTCACTTCGAAAGCTAAAACTAGCAATAATAATGTTTTCAGAAACCTAACCTAAATACACTTTGCAGTCAGAAACTTTTCTAAACTCAGTTGGTTTTGACATTGTCTTTTGAAATTTGATCGAATTGACTTCAATAATTTAGAAAAAAAATCTTGCGCGCTCAAGCATATTTTGAGTTTCTAATAACACAAAAACTACATAAAATATAAGTTCGAAAAAAATACTTTCATATACTAAAAGTCATAGCATATAATAAGAAATTTCAGAAAATTGAAAGCAAAATTAAAAAATGCTCGCCAAGCATTTGCTGAAAGTCAGTAAGGCGCTGCGTGGGGGTAAGTTTGCTGTCAAGCTACAGAAAAAGCGCGATAAAACTCGCCACTTATCTTCCCTTAATGCCATTAGCGACGCTACGCAACGCCAGCAAGGCGCCAAGTTCACCCTTCGCCGGCGGTGGACTACACAGCACCATGAATGACTTGCCGCAACCGGAGGGCGATTGGCAGGAGCATTACAACCGTAGAAATCTAAAGAATACGGCTGTGCTCACTGTTGGCATTATCTCGTTGATTTCATCAATATATATGGTAAGCTAAAGAGTGATCCTAGAGTGGGGCTGCAGCCGCTAATCACACACCAATTTACTTGTAGCATTTCACGGATGAGGCCATTAACTGGAACTACAAGGTGCCTGTGTATGATAGATGCCTTTGAAGTGTGCAAATCACGCGATAATTAAATGATAAATCGAAGATTTTTAATTCTGACTGTTTACTTTCTTCGTTTTTTTTTTTCAATTTTTTTAATGATTCCCGCGTATAGTTCGTTATATGAAACTTATAGCATATAATTAGTACGCATTCACTCGCTGTCATCTAAGCAGCGCGACGCTAAGCTTTGCTGCGCTTTTTCCACAAAAACCCATTTAAAAAATAAGCACAAAGTGGTTAGGTTAGCGTTAAACCTCAGCTGATTAGTCGCCATGCACTTTCCACAAAACGAAATTGGAGAAATGCAAGAAACCTCAACTCATTCACGGACCACAAAAATAAGTGTAGCAAACATTGTGTGAATTGTGAGAAAAATGTTGGTCACAAATCACCTGCCACGCTGAACATATTTCTTATTCAAAATAGCGCAGTCGCGTTATGACGAAGGAAATGGAAAAATTTGTTTGAAAATTAGACGAAAAGTCAGCTCACGTTTTACTCCACTTTTCGACGCTTAGCAGCCTTCATTAGTCAGCCAATATTTGTAAAGCTCGAGCGCCACTCGCCACACCTCAACCCGTTTCACATTCACCGAAATCTGGATTTCCATTCAAGTCATGCGCCACTGTGCCACTCTGGCAGTGAAGCGGAAAAATGCGGAACGAATTCCGAGGTGCATCGAAACAAAAAAGGTGCAAATAAAAAGTGGGGAAAAGTTCGAAATTGAAATTATAGCAGACACCAAACCCCGCAGTGAGCAGCAGCATTCATAGCTTGTTGCAATTGCAAGCGAGTGTCGGCTGAGAACACAAATAGGTAGCGGCCTCGCGTCATGCGACACGGAAGTGCACGTCTTTCACGGCTTATCAGTTAAGTGGCATTTTTTGGTCAAAACGAGCGCAGCAACCTGCCCACTAACCCACCTAAATATCTATGTTGTACCTAATTCCGCTTTCCTATTGCGTTTTGTTGCTATTTGTGTGATCGCGAGTGATTTAATGCGGTCTAAAGCGCTTGATTAACTACACCACCATACACACAAACGTGGGTGCCTAGGCAGCCTAAGTAGAAAAAGAAGTTGTTAGAATTGGTGTCGACCCAGTTTGTTTAGCTGTGTAAGCGCAATTTGCATAATAATAGCGATAATCAACTGAGCCCGATCGAATGGTTGTTGTCTGAAATATTGCCATACTTTCGGGTATGTGGGTTACAACCGGCCGCTATTGTGGTCGCAGTGCGCTTGCAAGCAGCAATTGTTATAGAAGACAGCTGATAGTATTTGTATTTTTATTTGTTTTTGATTGTATGCTCATATGTATATATGTGTTGTAGCTGATTATGTAGGCTTGCCATCATCCATTCAATCAAATAATTCACCTGTGCGCTCTATTTGCTCTGTCGCAGCTATTTGCGCGCGCTGCAGGCAGACGGGAGAGCATCTTTTATGCCTTACAGTCATCCCAGTTGAGCATTTTAGAAAAACAATTGCTGAAGCATCCAAAATAACCATAATTTGGGTTATAACAATGTCTTTAGTGTTTATAAAGCATTTCGATATTAATTCTTAGACTCTTAGGTCAAGGTATCAAATATAGTTGAACAAGTTTTTAAGCGATATTGAGTTTCACTGTCCTTATGGAGTACAGAGCTACCAATTCATCCAACTCATTAAAAGTATTTCAACGACAAACTAAACTCTTTATCTTTTCTGTAATTTTCCAAAAATACCCATATTTTTTAGAGAAACCATCGCTGGACGTAAGCTTTGATGCTGTAACAGGAAACCTTCGAAAATATTTTATAATTGTAGAAAAATAACATTGACGTAGTTTTGCATGAACAAGACTAAGTTGGACAGCCTAGCAGAAGTTCTGGCTTTTTATAAAATTTTAATGCCGAAGACTGCTCGAAAATACAAATTTAAAAACTTTACTGACGCTAGTTTCAGCGTTGCTTTTCATCTACTGAAACTGCTACATTAATTATGCATAGCTGTGCTGTTGTAAGCACTAAACGTTATATGTACATTCTGCCCTTCGCATTTTTGTTATATAAACTCGAGCATCGCACAGTTGATATGGTAGCTATGAGAACTTCTCAGACACATCGTTTATTTTTTTATTTCCGTATATGATTTAGGAGTTATAAATGGCAAGGAATGGTGCACTTCGTTATAGCCGCTGCAACTTTAATGTTTTTTTTTTGTATTTTATTACTTTAGCTTCGTTTTTTCTCCATGAAGAAGATTTGTTTTGCTTCACCGTGCGCTTGCCATACATCCCAATCCAGTTACGATTATCTCACATGTTTTGAACTATGTATACCTTTGTGCATACATTTCTCTATTATCATTCAACTATTTTATGATTACATAATCGCTTTTTATTTTCTGTGCTACATATGCAGTTTTTACGCAAATTCGATTCGACACAATTTACTAGCGATTTGATGATGTTTTCTGCCACAAAACCAAGTTTTTAAGCACATTTTCTCTTTATTTATGATTTTTATGCTTTTTCTAATGTTGTTGTTGTTGTGTGTGAGTTTTATTGCTCCATTAGTTGACCTGCATTAGTTAAATGTTATTTATTGCTTAAGCACTTGCCTGCATGAATAAGTGCAACACACACACATGCGCCGCTGTCTGTATGCGTGCTTTTGCTTGGTCTATCGTCATTCTGTCAGCCATTCAGCGCCACTATTTCGCTTGCAACATTTTGTGTGCTCCACATCATTTACGAGTATGTTTAATGCTTTCTTCTTTATGGCAGCTGTCATATTGCTGCTGTTTGCTCCCATTAACTGGGCTCATGCGCCACACACACACACACACATATACATACGAACTGATTTGCTTATGAAATTTTGTGTGTGTGTGTGTGTGTGTGTGTGTGAGTGGTCATGTCTGCACAATACCTTCATTTTTCATCTGCCACATTTGTGCTTTCATACCGATTTCTGACAAGTTCTCCTGAAGTTGTTGCAGTTAGCATAATCTTTCTTAGTTTCGGGTTTTTCATTTACAACTTTTTAGTTGCTGCAACATGCTTTTATTTGTTTGTTCAAGCTATAGGTTATACCGCTTTATATTACTACTTATATTACTTGTTTTTTATTTTACGTGCTGACATTTTGTTAGTTTTTGTGAGTTTACCATATTTCGCTGTTTTGTTGTTGTTTCACTATCTTGTGACATGTTACAGCTAACTGCACGTGACAAGTACTTAATGCTGTTCATTTTGGTGGCTTTTAGCTTCCAGTTTGCGACTGTCATAATTTTCTTTCAATTTAGCTTTATTATGTTTCCTGGAACGCGCCGAGATTTTCAGCGTAGACTCAGCAGAAGAGCGGCGGCGCCAAAGCGGGTGACTGCAGACGAATGTTTTTTACGATAATCGCTCGCTGCTTTTGTTTTGATAATTGTTTTCCAAAGAAATTGATAAGCAAGAAATTGGGTTAAAAGTGGCACAGAATCTTACTTGAGAGATCTTACAGCAAGTGAAAATATATTGTTGTAATTTTTTTACCTCTTTTGTAGATTAAAAAAAAAACAGAATGCAATTACATATTTATATACCCTGCAGTGAGATCTAGACCCAAAATTGTATATTTTTTACTAGTTCTAAACTAGTATATTTCTAACCAAAATTTGATAATTCAGTTTGTGATATCGATCTAAAATTTTACGCACGTCCTTTTCTACCCAAAAAGCTGCTCATTTGATGAGAGACCGATCAAAATCAAGATAAATATTTTTTTATATATACTATACTTTAGTGCTATAAGAAATGGCGTAATGAAGGGTATACTTGTTGATGCCTTAAAAAATTCAATAAATCATTTAAGGCTTCCTCATACAGTTTTGTAAGTTACACGCTGTATACATGTACATATAATATCCATATATACATACATACATGCAACAAATAGCAGCATTGTCGCTTGAGCGGCATATAATATTCTGCCATGAATGAATCGATTTTATCGGCTTTCCAACTGCGCTCATGCGAATAGCGGAAATAAGTTGAAGCGCGAGCATTAAATAAAATAAAAAGACTAAATTTAATCGCTTTGAAATTATGGCTTTTTTACTATTTTTAATTGTTGCATGATACGATAAAAGAGATACACACATACCTACATATATATAGAATAAAAATATACTTATAAATAAAACTTTAATGTAATTATTGCCATATGAAATTAAAACAGACATAAACAGGCAACTACAACAGTAGCGAAAAGCAAAAGGGCATTATGATAATAATAAATATAAATGAAATCTGCGAACTATATGAAACTATACAAGAGCAAATGAATGGGCGATTAAATGAGTAAATGAATTAAGTGGCGAGACCATAAACTTCAATAATCGCAACTGAGCGATCTAATGTCATTAAAATCGTACAAGGTTATGCCGCCACAAGAAGCTGACTTGGCAAAGACAGACGGAAAAGGCAAACGACGGACCGTCAGCCACCAATCAACTACATACACATACACACACACACAGATTCGCAATGAAACTAACTATAGCAGAATCAGCTTTATACATAATATATAGTTTAGCTGTGTATATGTGTAACACTTAATTGTCGCTAAAGCTGACAAATATGTGAACGACAAGTGCAGCAGTCAGCAAGAAACCGCTTATAAAATATAGCCATGGCAAAAAGTTGCGCGCTGCAGAAAAAAGCAGAAAAAACTGCATGAAAATGCGCTGGCTTTGTGGCTAAAATTGTACATATGTATGAGTGTGTGTATACAGTAAATACAAAAGTTACAAAGTCATTCGCCGCAGCCGCCACTTTTGACGCTGTGATCGCCATCGTTGAGCACTTTGACACCAACACTTTGGTGGCAAATTTGCACAGCAACAAAGTGTGCAAAAGCACAGCCACACACAAGCACCTACATGTAAGTAAGTATGTATGTATGTGCAGCAAGCGCGCAAGAATGGCGAACGCAAATATTGACGCGAATAAAAGAAAACTAAAGACAATAATCATTGCGTCGAAGTCCGTCAGAGTGTTGGTGGCGGCGCAGACCGAATTGAAGTGACAGTGTGTGGCGGTGCGCTGTACACCTGTTGGCTTGACAATTTGCCAAGCGCATAGATTAATAATTTTTTACACATAAATATTCGTTTTTTGCTGGTAAGTCACTTGCTCGTTTGTGTGTATGTGTGTGCGCTATGAAACAGGTTGGCAAAAATTCGCTGCGGCAAATAAATAAATGTTGCCCAAGAGAACATAATATATGTATGCATGTGTGTGGTATATGAAATATGTGTTTGTTGTTGCTTCATATATTTCTTAATTAGAATTTTAAAACAATTAATCGGTGCCGCAACTGCGCTATAAGGCTATTACGCTAATAGAGCTCAGCCACAGGTGAACGCAGGAGAACACGTTCCACTATTTAAAATAATTATAAACTGCCAAGAAAATGCAACATACATATGTATATGTATATAATTTAAAAACACTATAGAGTATGTAAAATTTAGAAGCGTATTGGATTTGCAGAACAAATGTGCATATATTTGTAAGTTCATACCCATTCACAAACAAAAAAGTTTCCATAAACGAACATGTTTTTGGTGGGTCACTTTATATGGCAGCTTTATGCTTAAGTAAGCCTATCTCAACAATTTTCTCGGAAATTGTAGCATTGCCTAGTACAATAATCGATACCAAATTTTGTGAAGATAGCTTGTCGATAAAAAAGTTTTTCATACAAAAACTTGATTTTGATCGTTCAGTTTGTATGGCAGCTATATGCTATAGTGGTGAGATATCGGCGATTCTGGCATAAGAGCAGCTGTCTGGAGCGAAAAGTGCAAAATCAAAATTTCAGAGCCATATCTCATCATTCTCATTACCATATGTATGGTAGTTTATAGGGTCTCCAAGGTTTCCTACTGAGCATTGCAAACTTAATGGCAAACTTATTTCAACCTGTTCAGGGTATAAAAGTTGCTAAAATTTTGTTATTTCAATACAAGTATATTACTTTGATATTGCCATACCATACATATATGCACATTTGCATGTTTGTATTTAAAATAATTTTCAAAATTTTGCTTTACTAGAAAAGTTTGAAAACCAAAGCAAGGCTAAACAGCAACCGTTTGTTCAAATTGCTGTAAAATTTCAAAAAATGCTTATATTTACATGAAATTTGTGGCACTTGAAAGCTGAACGCTTGTACAATAACAAATTTATTTGCACGAAAGTGAATCATATACAAAAATTAATAAAAAATACACATAATGCAAAAACTAGAAAAATCTTACCTTCGCACACTTTCACTTATAACTGTTGTATTTTTAAAGCAAATGCAATAAAATATTGCCAAAGTGTAGTAAAAAGCTTCTAAATAAATTAAATGTTAAAATTGAAAATTGAAATTTTTTAAAAAAAATTTCGAAAAAAATCCAGCACGGTTTTGACGCTAAACTAGTAGGTCCTTCACAAACGACACAAGTGAAGCGGTAAATATTGTACAAAAACAACATTTTAACTTTCCAAAAAATGCGTAGCTAACTATACATATGTATGTAAGTATGTAAGTATGTATTTGTGCGTTTATAGTTCGTCAACTGCCCGTTGTTGACAGTAAAAGTGGCGCAATTTAATTATAATGTTGCTGTATATATGTAGTTTTAACATACAAACACACATACAGATGTGCGTTAAGAGTTTCGGAGCGGTAGCGCTGCTTAAAATATCTTCAAGTGGCTTAAATTAAAGACAGCGCGTAGCCGACGTTTACGGTAAATTCGCTTAATTGCGAGCAATAACAGCATTAAATGTGAATTGAAGCGAATGAAAAGCAATCAAGCAAAGAATTTAAGCAACCAAATAGCTTTGGACTTGTACGCATATATATATCTGTGTATGTATGTATGTGTGTACAACCAGTAGCATTTGGCTAACAGCTGGTCACTTGAGTTCACAAGCATGTTGTGTTGAAAAATAAAAGTTTCTTAAGCCCATATTTAGTTATATGAACAAAAATATAATACTTGTGCGCACATACCAACATATGTGCATATATTTATGTACATAGACTTGCTCAACGCCTACGTTGGCATGCAGAGATGTGTTACACTTACACTATGGTTGGTAGAAAAGTGTTAATACAAATATGTATGTATTAGTGCGCCTTAAAGCTTGTGCGAAATTAGTGCAGCACATGTTGCACTTGTTGCAAATATACATGCTTTTCGATACTTTAATCTCAAAAAATGCATACAAATATTTACTGACTTTGGAACTAGAGATACATACATATGCAGTGTAGAAGACTTCGCTTAAAGACTGAACAGAGTTTTATGTTTGCTTGCATTAGCGACCGCTAGTACTCTATCTGCCAAATTTTGTTATATTTGTAAAAATTCTAATTTATAATCTATATAGTCAATACCTATCTAAATGGCTAGTTTCATTATCTGTCGCGAATCAAATATTTTTTTGGCACCTGACGGTTTTCTCTCACTTTGTTGTGCAAATATTATTTAATATATGACAGATAGGGTATGCAAGCGAAGAGTTGTCATTAGATATGACACATGCGCGTGTTTACAAAGTCAATAAATGCGAATTGACTAAATTATTTATGCGTTGTGGCGACTATAAGTTTGACTTTTTGCGACAGCTTTACAGTCATGTGTCGAAAAATAGTTTTTGAAGGGTAGATAAGAACTCTTGCATGCCAAAATTAACTGCTTAAAATCCAAAAATAAATATTTGTTAGAAACTGATTCAGAGCGTCAATAATGAAAGTAACAATCAAGTTGATTGATTGAATTTCATGCAAAAATCAAACAGCGAATTAATGGCACCAGTTGTTTTATCACACCAGAAGTTTTCACCAATTGTAACCTTATTTGATTATACATATAAATATGTATATGGCAAATGCGAAAATTACTTGAAAACATAGTAAAATTTTCGCTGACAATCATTCCGATAAGCAATAATGTCTAAACTGATCATTACACCAGCAAATATGATTATGAATGTGAATTGTTGGTGCTTATGCCTCGAAAAAAATGTAAAAAAAAAAATAACTTATAAAAAACTAAAAAAAAGTATACTATAAAAAACTGGCCATAATCGCAGCACTTTTCCAAATACATGCTCATACGTGATAATTTCGACAGGCAATGGTCTTTCTTTAAAATGAGTGCTCACTAACGACTGAAAAATCTCGAATTTCGAAACAGTGCATTTTATATATATTTGGTTTAAGGAAAAATATACTATATATTAACATACTTTACAAATATATTCTGTAGAAGTGACATAGTTCGAAAGCCAAAAAATATCAACCACATTGTATATACCCGAATTAGTTCCTCAGTTTTTGAGAATTCGATCTGAAATTTTGCACACGTTCTCCTCTCCACAAGAAGCCGCTTATTTGTCGGAATCACCGATATTGTACCACTATAGCATATAGCTGTCATATAAACTGGAAAACTTTTTCACTTAACAAGATAGCTCCACGAAATTTGTAATATTGTATTATATTTTCTAAGACAATGCTACAATATCTGAATTTTCTAGATGATAGATATCGCTATAGCTATCATACAGCCTGAACGATCAACATCAAGTTCTTGTATGAAAACTTCGTTTCGGGTATTCCAGCTTCGGTGCAACCGAAGTTAACGCTTTTTCTCGTTTTTTATTATTTTTATTTTGCTTAAACTTAAAAATACTTATTGCCTTTGCTCTGTGGGGAGGTCTATTTAAATATAGAATAATTTTTCCCATGACGGACGGTAAAAAAATCGCAATAGCTACATATGAACAATATACATATGTATGTACATAAGTATGCTCAGAAATAAGTAGACTGATATTTGAGCTTAAGCCGCATAGTTCTTTCGAAATTTAAAAGTCTGTACTCAGCTTCATGTGCTTCATTCGCAAGCCACAAAGTCACTTTTACATAGACAATTCATATATACATATACATACAGGTATATCTAAAACATAAACCGATTTTTTTTTTTTTTTTGCAATAAATCACAGCTCACATTTTACATTTCACGCAACATATTCTAACCACCAAAAACTAATTGGCTGACTAATTTCGTGCCAAATAAGCGCAGTAATTCGGCGCGCCGCAGCGGTGTGTTGATAGAGGAAGCGAAAATGAAATAGTTTGCAATGAAAAGTAAAGCAGTAAAAATGAAACTCAAAGCGAAAGAACTATGTCGAGAAAAACAAAAATCAGAAAATCAAAGCAAATCATCATCACCATTACCAAAGCGGCCAATAGCCTCGACAACAGCGCCAGAACGTGCAACCGACCGCACGCGCGCTTTTGAGCCATGGCTAAAAGATGGCTCGACTCGAGACACAGACGAGCTGGTTAAAAGGTAAAGCGCCTAAAGATTACTTCAAGTATCTGGCGGCGGCAGAGCAGTGGACTGCGCCTGTGACGCTTCAATGCACGTGAGCAAATGCGGCCGATTTGCTCATATTAGGGGCCTTTAGACATGCTCACGGCTATAAATTTATATGCATCAAGCACACACAGGTGGTTGTTGTGGTTGTTGCTGCACTTCAGTTCTCTTTGTTTACATTTACAGTTTTATGTTGCAATTAGTCACATTAATTAAGGCATTTAATTATGTATGAAAGTAATGTTGTTGGCATTTGGGCCAAGAGCCAATGATCCAGTTTGAGTATAACAAAATTGATCTGTAGAAATATTTACCTCTAATTGTTGTTGTTGCTGTTGCTGTTGAGAGTTAACAATTTTGCAGCTGCTTGCTGAACGAACACTTTACACGGCAACACAATCACTTTGTTGCAAAATGTTGTTGTCAATAAATGTTTACCAACACTGGTCCACCAAACAAAAATATCTCTCAAATCACTTAATGAATTTCTCAACCACTTTAATACTTTTCACCTTGACGTATGACCGCTAAACAATTAAAAACATCACACAAACACACGAGTTGCTTGCGATTTAAATGAAATTACACTTTTATGCAGTTTTCTGTCATATTTTACACCGATTACACATTTTATCACTTTCAATTAGCAGCTCATCAGCGTCTATGAATTGCTTTGCACAGTCGATTTTTGTTGTTGTTGTTCAAGCAGCTATCACCTCAATTTGTTTATTACGCTGCGCCGCTTTACACGCTTTATTGTTGTGCCCAACGCGAGAATCTTCAAGTCAGCACCTTTTGCTCGCTTGTCACTTCCACCGAGTATACTGCTTAATTCAGGCACACACACATGCACTTAGTTAATTTTTCAACTTTGAAAAAAAAATTTTATATATCGTTTTTTTTTTTTGTTTTTTGTATGATTTTATTTTCGGCTAAATCATACACAATTTCTTATCAGAGAAACGTCACTTTGTCTGTCATTTGTCCGCAACCACTAGCGTGCACCTTTTTGTCATTTTTAGCCGGCTGATTTTGTTAAAACGCGCGCGCGTCACTGAAACACACGTGCAACTCAATCGACTCCACTTTCACGAATAAAATCCAATGGCATACAGCGGCGCTGGTTGGCGCTCTCACACTCCCCCCGAAGTGGAGCGAACATGAGTGCGCGAGTGTTGTTGGGAGAATGAGCGTGCTGGCAGTGTTGCCGTTTTTGAGTAGCTATCAATTTCTCCCATATAGCGGCCTTCCATTTACTGGTTCCCGTTTGAAACTTGTTTCTTAGCGCCTCATTTGTTCAAAATACGATAGGGTAACGAAGGTCGTTTCTACTGGATATGCTTCCGATTTACATTAAACAGGAGTTCCATTGAAAAATGCAATATCGTAGCGTTAAAAATAGTGGAGGTGCTTTAAGGTGCGGTAATATTAAATGAAAATGCGAGATTTTAAAACCTACTTTGCTGAATCAAATTATTTTTGCCTTAGAAAATTAGTTTGTATTTTAACTGCTCGTAGCTGCTAGCTATCATAATGAAGAAGTTACTCTCACAAAGAGCGAAATAACGAAAAAGTAAAGGTATGGAAAACTAGCAAGAAAATATCAAAATGCTGTTTTTCACAATCACAATTCCACAAATGGAAATAAACAAAATGAAAGCGAGTGCTTTAAATATCGCTTGTATACACATGTGATTTAACAGCTGTTTCTCCATATGGCAGTGGCTATTTGCGGCTAACAGAAATTTCACAAGCAGAAACTAGCAGCTCTCTCAGCTTCTTAAGCTCTCAACTTGTGTTCTCTTCTGCTAGTTTCTGGGTTGAGAAAGGTTTTTCCAGCAGAAACTTGGCTAGCTAGTGATAGTTAACTTAATATATTTGTAAAAACTAATTTATGAAGCTTCTTTTGATTTTTACAGTACATAGAGTAAATATCAAACATTGCTTTTAAAATAATATTAAGCTGCCAAAGCTGTGTATTTTTTTTTGTACAGAAGTATAAAACTAAGCATTTTTTCTTAATAGCTCCTATATTTTATGTGCGATTTTATAAACGTGCAGGAAGCTGAAGCAGAGCAGTATATATTTTTCATGACAGAAAGATTTTCATTGCGAAAAGTTTGGAATAAAAGTTGACCAGATAATATTTAATGAATAAATACATCGCATTTGTTTAAATTTTAAGCTCAATGTAATTTGATGAAACGATACCGATATTATTAACATGGTTTTCAATTTTTCTTTTCAGTCATCAAAAATTTTGTTCCTGAAAACTTTTCACGTCCAACTAAAAAATTAAACAAAATATAGTTTTAACGAAATTTACCGCAGCTTTTATTTTGTATGCTGGCTAAAAAAATTTTCATAAATGGATATCTTGCTTATACTATCAAACTTTTAAGCTTCTTAAAAATTCCCTGCATGTTATAAAAATGCAACACTGCCTAATTCCGCTGCGGTATCGTCAATGGCACACACTCCATAAAACCGACTGCAATAAAGTGTTGTTGTTTGCAACGTGCAGGCAACAAGTTGTATTATGTTTGAAGCAACAACAAGTAGAGTTGCAACACCTGTTGCTTGATATAATGTGCTTGTGTGTGTGTTTAGCGAAAGTAAACCTAGCATAATTTGCTTTGCAATGAAAATGGATGAATATTGCTGTTAAAAGACAAGGCAGATTAAATTAGATAATTAAGCTGAGGACACTAACTTATGCAGCATTTAAATATATATTTAATAATATATTATATAACTAAAAGTTCTATATTTTTGTGGTTTTTAGCGACAATTCAACATTTAAGCAAAAATTTAATAAAGAATTGACTTTAGATAATTGAGCTGTTTAGGGTTTGAGAAATTAAGAGTAATTAGAAGATTTATTTGCTCATATATACATACATATGTATGTGTATATGTTAAATATACATATGTTTGTATGTATGTAAATTTGTTTCAATGTGGATAATAAATATTACACTTATTTGGCTGTGTATATGAACGCCTACACCGACTTTAATTAAGTCTTTAGTGTAGACACCATTAAAAGACTGCCCGGCCGATATAAAAGATATACTTGTATGTATATATGTAAATTTAATATTAAAACTAATAATTATGGCAATATATATATTTATACTCTTTACAAAGGCAAGCGTTTGGACAGCTCCAGCAAATCTTATGATTTACAATATAAATCTATGCAAAATTTGTATGTCTTCTAGACGCGGCTTTTTGTCAAATTCTTTACAATTTTTCGGATTGAGCACCAACAAACTAATTAATGGCTTGTGTTTGCCGAATTTGGCATATGAAATAGTTTTCGTCAAAGTTGTTAAGCTGGTTTTTTCGCTTGAGCTTCGCTTAATGAAATTCTTGCGGTGGCATTTTGTATAAGTACACCTTCGGCCAATAGCTGTGCGTATCAGAGCGCCAAATGCGGTTGACTATAAAAGTGATAGCAACAAAAGAATGTATTATACTCGCATATATAAGCTTTGTGTGTTCTTCGGCGCCTTGGCAGCACATTAGTGGGTGATTATAAGCATAAAAGCATCGGAAAACTGTATTTGCGACTTTTTAATTACGCACAGACCAACTGCTGACAGCCAATTAAAAAAAAAAATGTAAAAGGTTTGTAGGCGTTCCGGACATTTGTGTCTGGCGAATTTTTGGCGGGTTTGACGCTCGCTATTATTTAACATTTGATCCGCTTTAAATGCCACACCAAATTAGCGAGAATTAAATTAAGATCATGGGGTGGCATAGATGTCTGTGTGAATATATACGATATGTAGCTATAATGTAGCATTTCCATATATATTTTGGCGCTCACAGCGACGATTAACATTATTATACATGCATATGTTCGCTTTAAAAAAAATAATTTATATTGTAAAAATTAATAATAAGCGAGTGTAGCGAATCCATGTATAAACACAAGCTATAAAGAATAATAATTTCAACTATAAATCATTATTAGCCAGCACTAATTAGCGGTTGTTGCTTTAAATATGATTATTAATTTGCATTTAAGTGGTTCGACATTTGTTCGCTCGGTGACTGGCGGTTCGGACACTAATTTGCCGACTAATCCCGCTGTAGCAGTGTCGTTCACTCAATAATTAGCAGCTTTGCGCTTCAAAACGACAAGGTTTAAAACAAAATTGTTTTGCTTTATAAATTAAACAAAAAACATAAAACAATCGAAAACACCAAAAACCGACAAACCTAAGAGGCATAACATAAATGCGACAAAGTAGCTTGCATGTAAAGTTATTAATTAATTCAAAAATTCAAAAAAGAAAAATGACTTGCCGTCTGCTTAGGCCTCATTCGTATTGTTCGTCATGAATTAAAATTATAAAATATTTAGTTAATAAAGGAATTATGAATATTGGGTAATGAAAGATTATTTTCATATAATATTCATATCATTTATCATTGTATAACTAACACCTGGTGGATGTTATTAGGCATATACTTATTGTGGAAAATATATTGTGTCTGATCATTAACATGACCGAAGTGCAGTTCGCGATAACCATTTTCTATCTTCTTACAGTTACGACTCAAAATGCTTTTCGATTTCTAACTCAGCATATAGCTGTCATACAAACTGACAGATCTAAATCAGGTTCATCTATGGAAAACTTGTTTATTTAACAAGATATCTTCACGATTTGCCAAATTATAGAACAAGTTGTTCAGATCAGATCACTATAACATATAGCTGCCATACAAACTGTCTGATCATCTTTAGAGGGTCAGATCATTTTTAATACAACCGAATTTAACGTTATTTTTTTTCTTTTTTGTTTTTTGAATATTTTGATGTAAGTGAATAACTATTAGAAATTACGGAGTCTTAACAAAGAACTCTTAAATGAAATAAAGTAAACTGATTTGAAATCGTTTCTCTCATAACAACCTAGCTTTGTTGGCGTGAACTTTCAGTTGCGATAATTTAATAATTTAATACATTCTATTGAAGTCAGTTTTCGTTATAATATTTAGGTAAATGTTTCATCATATTTATCAAAAAAATATTGAAAATATCTCCCCTACTTCCGGTTTGAATACAATACCCACACAGCTGCCACTGCTATGTGGCATTTGAAAATGTCACTCTTGCTAACTAGCTCATTTCATAATCGTATTATGTAAGACACTTATTTACCGCTACAAAGAGATTAAATGACTATAGCGCAATCTCATGCTTCTAATATTTCCTTCAATCAAACGATCGACAGCAGGCAGTCGCTCAATGGGCACACAATGCCCGACTTCCAGTTGACTAAGCTTTTGACGTTTGAACATCGCTAATTGCTCAATTTTCAAACATCGTTACTTAAAAGCTCGAAAATGAAACAAGAGAGGCAGCTGAGGGTTAGAATGTAACTTCAGACCTTTTTCTAACGAAATGCTTATTTGGCTTATACGAAGCAGCAAAGCAATGTCACTATTTCCTCGACTATTAGCTACGAAAAGAAGCTTAAATTACTTTTTCACACAGTGAGAAAGCAAAAGCTGATTGCAGTACCTTTCTAAATGCATCAAAATGTGTGTGGGTGTGTGTGAGTATATGCAAGTACGTAATGTTTATTAAACTGTTATCTAATAGAGAAGAAACGCAACTGGGGGACAAACACATGCCAAACAAAGGCTAAATACACTCAGAGGTCAGCCGATAATGGCTTAGAACGCTTATCTTCGTATAAGATCTAAAGAAACAGTATGTTTGTAGGTTTGTTGCATGATTGAAAAAAATGCGTGTCGCTCGTAAGTGCATTACATCATCTCGTCATCATCATTTACCTCATATTGTCAGTGGGTATTATGCGGAGTTGCATCAATGCGGCAGTTACTTTCTACATTTCCAATGCGACGTACCTACGCACATGTGAAATACCTCTTTAACGCTTGCAAAGCATGACTGCAGTCATTCTTCTTCATCAAAGTCACAATGGAGCGCCAAAGCGAGCAGAAGCAAAAAAAAAAACAAAAAATAGGCGAGCGGTGCTTTGAGAAGCACAAGAAGAGTGAGTGTATTGACTTTATTGATGGAAATTCTTTTGTGTCTCACTTACTTAC